TCGAAAAAGAAGTTAAGAAGAAGCTCCGCCCCTTAACTCCAAACCCCGCCTACTTAATAAACAATTCATATAGAAAAATAGCGATCCATTAAAATTGCTAGTTTTCTAAATGAATTGTTTATCAAGTGGGCGGGGTTTGGAGTTAAGGGGCGGAGCTTCTTCTTAACTTCTTTTTCGAAGTTTAATTTATCCATCCATCAAGTTAGAGGGTGACTGCATTCAATTTCAATTTCATTCCAATTCATTTTTCACCGGTAGTGTCAACCGCTCTTATCTATGGAATTTTAGGGTAACTATAAGTTAAATGCATTTTATGAGGTTAATCCATCGCGCGCGACTTCGATGCGTTTGGATGTGTTTTTTAGCCATGTACAATACGGTGCGGTGTCGAAAGGTTGCAAATCCTTACCCTGAGGGTCACAACTAGTAACTACGACCACGTCACGTCATACATCACGTTTTAAAATGCAATGGTTCCACTGTTGACGCGAAGGGGATTACAAACATAGTGGCTCTAGCCTTCTAGGCTCGAATTGTCAGCCTTTGCCCGCTTGTTATCAGCCCTTGTCACCAATCACCTTCGGTACCTTTACATCCCACACCACCTACTGAAGTGCTGCACTGTTAATATGAAAGACGTTGTAGAACTAATGGCTCTCGCCTTCACGGCCCGAGACTTCTAATCACAAGCGTGAGCATCGGTACATGCTGAATATCTTTTGCACTGTCATGTTAGTTCACTGTCAAATTTCGTATACAGAAAAGTGTCACTCATACCGAAGGAGTTGCGGGTAAGTCGATTATCACACTTTGTCATTAGGAGGACGAAAGCTCCGAAGTCAGCGGAGCGTCCGATTGGTAAAAATGATAAATGATAAGCTATGTAATTGAAAAGAACAGTAAGGATTAATAAGTATCACTCACAGTTACTCGTTACCCCTCATTTATCATTTATGTGTACCTATACACCAGCAGCCAATATTGAGGTTATCAGTCCTTAGTGGACAAGAAGTACCCGAAGCCGGATTAGATGGGGAGCCCGACGCGGAATAAAGCCGCTCATCTGGGTAGCAAGCATATATGAGAAAGAAGCATTCGCAAACTTTGAAGACGGAAAACCTTGAAAAGAAAGTCAAACTAGTTGCTCTTTCTATGTATACAGTTTATGGCAAGAGCAGGCGGGACGCAAGTACGACGGTAGCCAGGAAGATTGCAGAAAGGAGAGATTAGCGATCGTTATTGAAATAATGTGAAGGATAGCGGTGTTTAGAATGAGAGTAAATAAGACACGGGAATGAATACTAGATCCTTCAGTAGCAGGAAAGGAAGAATAACTTAGAGCAGAACAAGGAGAAACAGGTGATTTCGCACATGGAAGGAGATATGGACCTGAAACGGCTAATTCAGGTAGACGGCGGATAGGTGAGGATTTGATTTGATCACAGGAGCGCCATACCCATGTGGAGAGTCACAGAAAAGCAAATGATAGAAGAGCATTCAGAACAGAATTCGTTACTAGGTTCAATGGAACGGAGTAGAGAGGTGAAATGCGACAGGATAAATAAAGACGATCACGATATTTGAACCACTTCCCCCCCCCCCAATGCTCAACATCACAAACTCAAGAAGAGCCATTATTCGTAATACACATGCGGTATCGAACGTAGGCCCAGTACTACATAACAGTTCTGTGCTATCGAACGACGCACTGTTCAAGCCAGTAATGACTATGCAGAATCAATTATGAATGGAAAAATAAAAGTAAAAGATAGAAGAAAAATTCAACAACAGATCACCAAGAAGCAAACCTGAGCATATCGTTCGAGGCAGGACTTCTCATAAATCAAGCTCTGGAATACCGGATATTTCAGGAAGCTGGTCAACATATACAGAAATAATGGAATTTCCATTCTGAGAGATTTCCACAGAACTCCGATAGTCCTCGGTATCATTTCTTCAATCTGCAACACAAAAAGATCAATGCTTAGCTGCGAGTTTTTTCGCGATATCTTATTTTATGCTTTACGATCCGATTCTTCTTGAAATTGAAACATCGCTCATCCGAATAGTTTTTCATCATCAAGCAGAATATTCACAGCAGTCTATACTAGTCAGAGCCTGATTTTTCACGGTCAGAAAGAGATTGGTACCGATTCTGCCGATCCCTCAGCAATATTCAGAGCGAAGCAAGACTGGAACTCACCAAGTTGGTGAAACTAGTTATTGCCTGACCAGATAAAGAATCAGGTCTCGAAGGAAAAGGCTTAGTCATGGGATCAAAGGATCATAGACAAATCAAAGGGACAGATGTTTGCGTAAAAATAACCCTACGAGAAGTAGTGATACGGATCAGATATCGAATTTGTGTATCTTCTGCCTCTTTTGCCCATTAATCAACAAATGCATCTAACAGGCGTATGACCATCGGACAAGTGATTGTTCTTATGCTCTCCTGATGCCGAGGAATTTACTGGAAACTGGAATCTATTGTTGAAAGGTCTCCTTCTATCTGCAGTCGTGATCTTTCAAGCTACTAATAATATTCAATGCTTCCTTGCCGAGCAGTAACATTGACTTTGCCTGACGTATAGACAACCCCTTTTATTCAGAAGCCGGGGGTAGTTTT